TGCAACTTAACTACTATTATATAGCATGTATATTAATAACAAGAACTGTGAGCTAAAAGAATATATATATATTGTATATATCTATCTTGTAAAAAAATAAACAGATGGGACCAATCTTCCCTTGCCTGGGAGAGAATTCTATAGGGCACAGATCGGCAACCTGCGGCTCCGGAGCCGCATGCGGCTCTTTGAGCCTTCCCCTGTGGCTCCCAGCCTCCTCTGCCTTTGCAGAGAGAGACAGAGACAGAGAGAGGCAATTGCGCTTTTCTCTCTCTCTCTCTCTCTCTCTCTCTCTCTCTCTCTCTCTCTGTGTTTGTGTTTTTTTTTTGTGTGTGTGTATGTGTAAAAGAGAGTGCACTCACAGTGTTCTCCAAGGAGCTGAAAAGCTTACTGGGAGGAGCCCCTCCCTTTCCTGCGTCTCTGCAGGAAGCAGGAAGCAGGAAGGGTAGGAGAGAGCTAGCTAGCCCAGCTAGGCTGACTCAGGAATTCTGGGAGTTGAAGTCCATGAGTCATAAAAGAGACGAGGTTGCTTACCCCTGAGCTTGTTGGACAACAGCTTGAAGCTTGCCAGGTGAGCAGCAGATAGGAGGGAGGGAGAAAGAGAGAGAAAGAAAGAGAGGGAGGGAGGGAGAGAGAGAGAGAGAGAGAGAGAGAGAGGAAAGAGAGAGAGAGAAGAGAGAGAGAGAGAAAAAGACAGTGGGGGAAGAGGAGTGGCAGACCAAGGGCAGATAGAGAGGGGGAGGAGAGAGAGAGAGACAGAGAGAGAGAGAGAGACCCTTTTGACATCTAAAATGAAGATAACACTGCATATATCCTTTTTTTACCTGTGTGTGTATGTAATTTTATTCTCTTAAAGCATTCTCTTGGTGATCATTGTTTTAATAGTATGGATATTCCCAAGAGTCATATTTTTACTTTTATTTTAATGTGTGTGTGTGTGTGTATATATGTATGTGTGTGTGTGTGTGTGTGTGTGTGTGTGTATATATATATATATATATATATATATATATATATATATATATATATATATATCCATACACACACACACCTATAATAAAGGTAAAAAAGGATATAGGCAGTGTTATCTTCATTTCAGATATCAAAAGGGTTTTGCGGCTCCTGGTGTTTTGTTTTTGGTGGGAAATGGGTCCAAGTGGCTCTTTGAGTGTTTTGGGTTGCCTACCCCTACTATAGGGAATCAGAACAAAGAAATTACAAATAGGCAACTTTTTGATTTCTGAGAATCCCACTATTTCTCCCCCTCTCCCCAGCATAACTAAGTGCAGGTCATTATTTTATGTGGTCACTATACAGTCAGAAGCAGAATTATTTGTGCATATTCTTTTCTAGGAAGAAGGGAATGGAATGTTTCTGCTTATCCAAAACTTATCAGATGAGCTATTTATCCATGCTGCCATTATTTGACAATTTATTGCCAAATTTTAGTGCTTCATGACCAGTGGAGTTTCGGGCTGCAAAAGATTTGGAGATCACATGTAATCTATGAGCTCAGCAGTTGCTCTCCCAATCAGGAGCTGCCCTTAGCCTGAGCCTTAACCCTTGGCCAGCCTTAGCTTGCCTTTTACTAAGCAATCATGGGATTACCTCATAGAAATTATATTTGTTGCTTATAATCTCAATTCCTGCACATTAGGATTAATGTATAAGAATAAACAGTATGGTAAGTCTGTTCAGAAAAGGTACCAAACTACTGTAGAAAAGAAGTTCTGAGCCCCTCCAAATTTACATCCCTATATTCATTTTTTATTTCGTCCATATGTATGTCCATGGGTCAGGTATAGATGGTCCTTGATTTACAACCATTTGTTGAGTGACTGTTCGAAGTTACAACGGTGCTGAAAAAAATGACTTACAACCGGTCCTTGCACTTACAACTGTTGCAACATCCCTATGGTCACTTACTCAAAATTCAGATGCTTGGCAACCGGCATGTATTTATGACAATTGCAGTATCCCATTCATGTGATCATCATTCCCGATCAGCTTCTGACAAGCAAAATCCCTGGGGGAAGCTGGATTTGCTTAATGACTGCAGTGATTTGCTTAACAATCAAATCAAAAAAGGTTGTAAAATAAGATACTCACATAACACCACCTTGCTTAGGAATAGAAACTCTGGTCCTAATTGTAATTTATACCTGTAATTTATTTCAGTCCTCCAAGTATCATTTAAGAACCATCTAGTAAATGCTAATTCACCATGCTGGCTTTCTAAGAGACGTGGTGGCGCAGTGGTTAGAATGCAGTATAGCAGGCTAATTCTGCCGACTGTCCGCAGTTCGATTCTCACTGGGACCAGATTGTTGAGGGCAGTATGCTGACTCTGTAAATCGCTTAGAGAGGGCTCTAAAGCATTATGAAGCTGTATATAAGTGCTATTGCTATTGCTATTTTGTTAGCCTCTTCTTTCCTTTCTTTCAGTTCTACTCCAATATGTATTACAAACTATCCAATATGTATCTAACAAAAAAAATGTATTTTTTTAATGAAAATGCAATGGCTAGAAATTCCAAAGAAGCATATAAATGATGGACTCCTTATTTCTTAAAATTCCACCAAAGAGTTCCAAGAAATGAACAAGTTATCCTCATTTAAACATCAGAATAGAAGAAAGATGGGTTTAGAGCAGGGGTGTCAAACTCAATTTTACTGAGGGCCGCATCAGCATTGCAATTGCCCTTGAGGGGCTGGGTGAGTGTGGCCAAGGTGGGTGTGGCCTACTGGGTGGGTGTGGAGGGAGTGGATGTGATCTATTGTGTGGGCATGGCCAGCTCTACATTGTTCATGTCAATGGTGCCTGTGGGGCCCTGGGCAGGAGTGGGACAGATCTGAGGGTCTCTGGCAGAAGGGGGTGGGACCAAGGCAAGTGCCAAGGCATGGTCTACTGGAGGAGCCTCACTGTTCCTCTCAGGCCATGTTGGGGGAGGGCTGGATGGTGGTGCAGGCTGCCCGGAGCTTTGGGCAGCAGAGATCAAATGCCCAGCCTGGCCCTCGAGCACCCGTGGCACCAAGTCCAGACCCACTTCCCCAGAGGGGTGTCCAGCTGCACTTACCTCCTCCTCAAAGCTGCTGCTGCTGTGCTTGCTCTCCTTAGCCAGATTGTTCATGATGGGTACCAAGGCAAAGTCAGAGGGAGACTGAATATGTTTCAGCATAGATGGTCACCACAAAATTGTACATTGGCTCCCAGCCGGCTGGCCTGGGCCAGGGCCAAGGCAATGGGGGCTGTTCCCTCACTGTTTCCAGGATGGCTTCACGGGCCACATAAAACCACTTTCCGGGCCGCATCTAGCCCCCTGGGTCTTGTGTTTGACATGTCTGATTTAGAGTCAATAATTACTTCAGGTAAAATTACATGAAGAAGCATGGGCCCTATGTCAAGTTCTATATTCTAACCAAGAAAAAGGCAATAAGTCCAAATGTTTTGAATCCAACTCCAGTTGGGGCCAGCCAGCATGGTTAAGAGCACAAGGTTCACAAACTCTTCTGTGATCACTGTAGCAATCCTGTCAAACCCACTGGATTCCCACTCTTTAAGTATTCTTTGAGCATTGACTACTCACATCTGACAGTTTTCCAGGAACACTGAATGTGCTGCCTGCAGGAATTAGACAAATATTATCCTTCATCCCTGCCCCAGCTTAAATGGATTTATATATTTTCTGTTGTTAAGAAAATAAATGGACCAATAATTGACCTCCCTCTCTCAAGGGATATTTTATTTATTTATTGCTTTCATAAGGTGGTTCTGTTTTAACTTATGTTCCACGGTAGTATAGGTATGTTTAAATAAAAATGCATTTGGGATACATTCTGGTAGATAAAGCACATGGCTTAATAAAGGTAAAGACAATGAAGTTCCCAAAATGTACAGAACCTTAACCCTGAATTTCAACGTGATTCCCACCAGCCAATGTACAGGAGAGGACCTTGGCCAATGTGTTTGTACCTGACCAGGCAGGAAAAACCTGGAGAAGAAGGCATTGGGATGCCATGGCAACCACTGCACCCCATGTGCCTCTGCTGTAGCCTTTCTGATCGCCAACCTCATGTTTCCTCCCTTATCACCTTCTGTAGAGCACGGGAGGTTCTGCCCTGACAGACAAAGCAATATCATGTGGGAGACTAAACACACTGCATTTACTTTAGTCCCCTTGTCTCAATGTGGTTTTCATTCCTCATCTCCTGGGAAACAGATAAAAAGACTTCACTAAACAGCCCAAAGAAAGTTTTGGGTCAAGGGGCTCAAAGCACTTCATTTGTTCCTTTTTAGGATTCAAACAGCTTTTAAATCAGCCTTTCCCCAGCTGAAGCCAGATGTGTGGGGACTTGAGACTATGTCAAAAACAAAAGCTGCAACTGAACCCAATGAGAGAATCTTAGATGGGAGGAAACTGGACTAAATTATGAAAGGGGGTGTGAGATAAATTTGGCTGAAGAATTCAGGAGTGATTCTCTAGCTTGGCTGGTTATTTCAAATGGCTGACTCCTAACTGGGAGTTAAGGAGTACTGGAGAGGAAATGTGGGGAAAAGGTTTGCCCAAGTAAAGTTCTTCTGGGGAATAATGATAGTCCCACTAAGATAATTACTATTTTGACTATAGGGCCAGGTCTTAGTTAGAAATCTCTGTTACTGTAACTTCCTCAGAATGTCTCTGTTACCTGAAAGGGTGATCTCTGGTGGTGGTGGTGGCAGGGCAGAAAAACTCTTCCTTTTCTTCATCATGAGGTTCTTCCTCTTCAACCCAATCTCATGCCCTTCTGACTTTCCCCTCCAGATGCTCTCCTAATGTGTTGGACTACAGCTTCCATTATCCTCGTGTCAATCCCAGACTTACACCCCTGCATATCAGGGACGGATAATGACAGCTGTAGAGAGTCTGGTCCTACACAAAGGAGGGAACCAGATTGAGGAAGGCTGCTCCGTCTTCCAGCTGGAAAAGATCTGGATAGCGCCCAGCAGGGGCAGCCCTTACCTTGACGCTACTCTGGCTGATCTGGGTCTCCGCCTCGACGCCACAGCTGGGGTGGCCTCCGCTACTGCCCACCTCCCTGCGCGGGTAGGCCGGACAGTTCGGCGGCGGCAGCTGGCGACTCTGGTAGGCGAGCACCGAAGGGATAGAGTCGGCCGCGTCAGTCTTGATGAAGAGCCCGTGCAAGGTGGCGGCCGTTCCCTGCGAGACGGTGGTGGTCTGACGCGGCGAACTGGACTCGTCCGAGTCTCGGCAGTAGATCATGCCGCTCTGCGAGACGTGGATGCTGGGGGCGCAGCCCATCCCTCTGCCGCGCTGCCGCCTCGCCGCCCTCGCCCCGACCGAAGAAGCCGGCGGGGCCACACCAAGCCTCCCTCGCAGCTCTCGAGCTCTGCGGAACGCCGAGCCCAGCCGACCGGACCGAAGCCGGCAGCTCAGCCCAGAGCGGGAACATCGGCCGTCGGCCTTGGGAGGCAGCGGCGGCGGCGGCGGCAGCGGCGGCGATTGAGACTCGCCATTCCCTCCTCTCCGTCGGCGGAGGCTACGCGCTGCCCGACTCAGGGCGCAGGCAGCGGCTCTCGGGCGAGCCCCGCCGGTCCCCGCAGTGCTGCTTCCCTGCGGCGAGGGGGCCGCGTCCTTCCCCGCCGCCAGGCAGAGACGGGCAGCGCGAGTCCGCCGCGCTCCATGGTGAGGGCATCCCTCGCAGCCCCGCGTCAGGGAGGAGGCGGGGGCTGCCCTCCTGACGGAAATCTCGGAGCACGGCGGCCAGGCGCCCAACCCAGCCCGGCAGCCGCCGCTCCCCGCTCCCTCAGTTCGCCTTCCGGAATCGGTCGGCATCCTCCCGAGCTGCGCTTCGGCTTCCTCCTCTCCACCCGGACCCCTTTCACGAGTCTCGGGCGCCCAGCCGCCGTCCCTCCTATACTGGTCGTCCGCAGCCACTGCTTGCAGCGCATCGGGGCAGCCGTCCGTCCGTCCAGGCTGGGAATAAACCAAAGGAAACGGCGGGCAAGCTGAATGTGGGGGAAGGAGAGCGGGCCACACTCCTGCCCTTCAGCCCAGGAAGGGCGCGGTAGGATCAGCTGGGCTGCCTTCATCTTAGCCTTCCCTGCTAGCGTAGAAGAGGAAGAATTTTCGGCCAAAGTTTTGGTAGGAGGCCAAAATTATTGGACTGGGGCAGCAGCTGGCAACCCTCTGAACTGCTTCATCCACTGGGGAGAACATAGAATGCAACACTGTATGCAGTGAAAAAGGGCCTTCTCACTCCCGTTGAACAAAATTTACGCCCTTTCCCTGAGACAAATCCAGAGTTTTCTCCTTTGAATGCTGTTCCAAATTGGCCATTAGTTTGTTTTCTCCAAACTGCTTCAATGAGGACCTTTGGGCACTGAGTGGGCTTCAACAGGGACTCCATCTCTTCAAGCCTACCAGCCATCCTGTTATTTCTGGGTTATGAACTGTCCCCAAATCAAGGAATGTCTTTGAATATATACCTGGATAAGTAATGGGACTTTCTTATTACAAAAACTGCCTTCAAAAATAAAATATATGGATTAAACCAGGTGCCTAAACCTATTGAGCACAAGGGTAGTATTTCTTTACAAGGTCTATTTGAATCTTGGGTGCAATAACCAAGATTGTGTTTTTAACCTCAGCAACTTTAAGATGTGTGAACTTCAATCCCAGAATTCCCCAGAGTGCATGAATTCTGGGAGCTGAAAAGCATACAAGTAGTCCTCAATTTATGACCATAAATGAGCCCAAAATTTTTGTTGCTAAGTGAGACATTTGTTAAGTGAATTTTGCCCCATTTACAACCTTTTTGGCACATTTGTTAAGTGAATTACTGCAGTTATTAAGTTAGTAACATGGTTGTAAAATGTATCTGGTTTCTCCATTGACTTTGCTTGTCAGAAAGTTGCAAAAAATGATCACATGACCTGGGACACTGCAGTCATTATAAATATGAATCCGTTGCCAAGCATCTGAATTTTGATCACATGACCATGGAGATACCATAACAGTCATAAGTGTGGAAAAGGGTCATAAGTCACTTTTTTCAGTGCTATTGTAACTTTGACAGTCACTAAATGAACGGTTGTAAGTTGAGGACTACCTGTCCATCTTAAAGTTGCTGAGTTTGAGAAACTGAAATAATTGAAGCTGTGCAACCTCAAAAGGCAAAGAAATACAAAAATGTGTTTAACAATGAAATAAAACTCTGGGGCGGAGTCATAAAGCAAGGCAGTAGAGAGGTAAAATAAGTAAGATACGATTCCATATCTTTAGGGCTTTAAAATTTAAAGCCAGCACTGAGTTAAAAAATAGACTGGTAGCTGGTGAGAACTGATTTTACATAATCTGAATAGATAGATCCCACCAGAACCTTTGCAGCCACATTGTAGACCAGATGAAGCTACTGAACTATCTTCAAAAGTAGCACTACATGAAGAAATTGCTTTAAGCCTCATTACCATGGAAGCAGCAGCAATTTGCTTCAATAGCATTGGATTGCCTACCACTGCTATAAACCAAGAGGGCACAGCTATGACTTCAAAGCCCTATGGTTACTATGGGAAAGAAAGAAGAGATCCAGAGCCCCTCTAAACGTTGCTATTCAATTGTAATTATAAAAAAAATGAAATGATTACATATACATGGAGTAATATGTGCGTTTTTATCAATTTAATTTAATTTATTAAAAAATTGCCTTGGCCTCTGATATATCTCTTGAAGGTTAAATGTAGTTCTCAAACCAAAAAAGGTTATACATCCTTTATGTATCACTTAATTCATCTTTTATATTTGGCAACATAATTTACAAGTATGTTCTTTAGTTGTTTATTAGTCTTAGGTTTTTACATAAGTTTAGGGACACTTAGATATATAAGCTATGTATTCCTAATAAATGTATGAATGCAGCTAATCTTGACATACGTCTATAATAATGACAGGACATCAACACTTATTTAAAAAAGATATAGATGTAATAGTAAGCAACAAATAAATAAAAAGCAAACAACTCAAGATTGCATTCACAGGATTAATACAGATGTTTTCCATACTTTGGAAGACAATAATTCAGAGAAGGAAAACAAATTTGGAGTACTGTCATCCGCTTAACTGTCATCAGCCTTGTACTCTATATTTTCATTTTGAATTTTGATACGATGAAAATAATTCAGACAGAAGCTTTAAGAATAGTAATGCAAATCAATTCTAAGAAGACCTACTAAAATAACTGACCAAATTTAAAATCAAGAAAAAAAGGAGTCCTTGACAGATATGGGGTGAAAAAACTCAACAGTAATGGCCTACTACTGTTTCTGAGCAAGTGTGTCGAGCACAACTTGTGCATCACTAACACAATGTTCAGACTTGCAACAACCTGAATGCATCCCAGGTCCAAACACTGGTACGTACTTAACTATGTCAACACGACCTTAAAGATGTCACCATTACCTGGATTATATGAGGTGCTGACAGCTGGACAGATCACAGGCTGGGCTGGTCAATTCTCAACCTGCACAAAACCCGTTTATATTGTAAGCTACCAAGAACTACCAAAATTTAATTCATCTTTAGCAGACTGCAAGATCCAGTCCAAATCCAATTTTTACAAGATTACTTAATAAAAAAACTCTTTCATTTACTGCTTGTAGGAGCCTATTCTGAAAAGTGGACGCAGTTTAAAGACGTCATCATGTAAACTACAACAACTCTACTTGTATTGAAAACCTGGTCACACCCTGGTTTAACGAAAATCAAAAGACAATTTCAACAGCCTTCCAGGCCAAGAACAAGGCCTATGCAGACTGACAGAATGATCCATCATCTGTCTCAAAGAAAGAGAAGTTTAAACAGAACTTCAAGAAATGTAGAACAAATTATAGCAGAGAAAGGCTGAGCTGTTGGGGCTATGCAGACATGTGTGTCACCACAAAGTTACTCAGTGCCATAAAGCAGTTTATGGTCCTTCTAAATCAGGATGTTCCCTCTTTGCTGTCATCTGATGGGCCAAGCCTGACCAAAGACCAGGAAGGACTAAAAAACTGCTGGGCTGAACACTTTTCTAACCCACTCAGTAGACTATTCACAGTTGATCCTGATGTCTTAACAGCAGATTCTTCAGCAGCCAATCTTTTTTTTATTGATTTTTTTTTAATACAGTTCAAAAGTACTTGGGAAGTCACCCCCCCCCCCGAGAAGGAAATATTAAAAGGGCAGAAAAATATATTTCCTCAAAGGATCTTAAAGAGGCAGAAAAGCATGCCCAGTTTTCTTAATAGCCCCAAGTCTCCATCCCCCAAGCAGAAACCAGCTCTGTAGAAATGCAGATGTAAACCATTCAGGAAGGTTGAAGCTAGAAGATTAAGAAGACATAAACACCAAAAATCTACATACCCTACCCAAATTCTAAGACAGGAGATAATAGGATTAACCCACAGATGCCAAAGGGGCACACTCAGATACAGGAAATACAAAGCCTCAATCAGGAACAGGAAACAACCTCAAGAGCCCCAGAGGGTATAAAAACCCACTCCTTACATGTGCTCTCTCTCTCTTTTCTTCCAGAACAGTCTTTCTGTCTGGTTCTCCTCTTCAATAAACTGCAACCTTCTTTCTAAAGCATTCGCCATATTGTTTATTCCCAGCTTGGACTGAACCATGATGAAGACTTTTCCTTCCATGGTATTTATTCAACAAATGTGTTGTCTGAGTTTATCATTTATTAATACAAATTAAATTGCTAATCCCTTGTTCGTTTCTCCAGCCATTGATAGAATAAGTTCCAAGTTTGAAAATATTCTGTCTCTTCTTTTTCTTTCAACCTCAACGTAAGTCTGTCCATTTCTGCACAATCTAATGTTTTTTAATTATTTCTTCCTTTGGTGGTATTTCTTTCTTTTTCCAATGTTGTATGAATATGATTCTTGCCAAGTGCCTAATTTTTATCTCAATCTCCCACATATTAGTTCTTAACTCCCTTCTTCCCCAGTCTTCCTGGGATCTTCGCTTTGGAAATTATCCAATCTGGGGATTTATATTTCTAAGTCCACAGGAAGGAGAAATAAAAAACAGCCTCACCCAGATCTCAGCATGTTGTTGACAATCAGGTGTTCAGCGGCATGCCGCAGCATGCTACAGTTCTTTGTTTCTTTCCCAGTTGTCTATGACTTGGGCTGCCTGTATATTTACTGGCAGCCTTTCTCCTATCCGTTTGAAGAGGTTCCTCAGTTCATTGGGGCTGACTGCCATCAGCTCCAAGCTCCCAAGGCTTCCCTTCCTCTTTGTTGCCTCTCCAGGGCAACTTTCCGATCCTTTGGGGTGTGCAGACAGAGCGAAATCGGACTAGGAAATCAGAGCCCCGATTTCTTTCGCCTGTCTCGTTATGACACCAAACTGGAAGTTCTCAGCAGCCAATGTTGGTTGCCCTAGACCTGACTCCCTCTACTTATGAGATCAAGAAAGCAATCTAACAAATGAACTCAAATAACACAATAGGGCAGGATGGCTGCTGAGTCCTACAAAGCACCAGACCTAAAAATGTTACAGAAGTTTCAAGATATCATGAAAAAAACATTTGCTTCACAGAGGGGATTCCTGGCAACTTCATTCATTGAGGATCTCAATGGGAAGCAAATGAGATTGCAGAAACTACAGAGGTTTCTCATTGTTATCCAAATACCAAGAACCAAAAATCACTGTTGACAATACTCAGCCAAAAAGCGCAAAGAGAAATGTCGTTGGTAAAAGCAAAACATTTAGAAAATAATATTTTTATTTGTCTAGCTTGTTCTCTCTAGATCTGTTGTAGGGAAGTCACTCCTATCTTAGTAAATGTTCTCATATTTCCAAACTAAGCAAAAAAATAAATAAAAATAAAGATAGTTTAAGTGTCCTTTTCTCTTTTATTATAAGGAAGCACAGCTTCTTAGCAATGTTCATGGAACTTTCCACCACTAGAAAAAATATGTAAAAACATATAACAATGGATTATTGGAAGATTTCCTGTATAAAGTTAAAAAAGTGGACATGAGCTGAGACAGTAAATTAAAGGATCGCAGACTACAGCCCGAGATTGCACAATAAACAAAGCAATTGGCTACATAAACATTAAGCAGCTTATCTGTTGTTTTCAAAAACTTGTTATGAATGGTTGGTTTTACAGCCAGAAGCTGCAAGTGTAACATAGAAAATATATTAGAGAAAGAGAAACAAATTACTGTTGTGTCATCTTATATCCTTACTAAAGGATTCTCTGCCCCCATGAATTCATGGGTATATAGTGGCAAGTCAGACATTGGTTAAAATTGAATATCCCCTTTTGCATAAATATAAGTTGCTTCTACTAGCACAAAATCACCACTGAATATAATAGCAAAATGATAAATATGTATTGGAATTAGGAAATAGCAATCACAATTTCCTGACAGATGACAGTGACAGTTTGGTCATTTCCAGGATATAAAACATAAAATCAATCCTGATTCTAGCACTCAAAGCACACAGGTTCCATTCATTATCTAATCCTTCTTTTGTGTTATTTACCAAAATTTAAGGCATCAAATTGTATTTGATGCTAATGGACCACTAGTGAAACAGAAATAGAAACTGAAATGGATTTTCTTCTTCCTTT